ACATCAAATTGCATCTAAATCTACACATACCTGTAAATATTCATTGTCTCAAACCTTGGTTATTATTCAAGGCACAGAAAAGTGGACTAATCTTCACCATGTCGTGGAAAAGGTGGTCCTCTAGAGTCAAACATGGGTTTCAATCTTTTTGGACACATTCTACAAAAACGCATTTTGGTCAAAGTAACATGTCAAAGACATTTACTTCCACAAAAATGTCCATTTGTTCAYCCATGTTTCCTGTGTATGGCTCAAAAGAGGAAGCAACCTGGATCCCTGAGTCACCACTTGAAAGGGGGTTGCCCTGGAGAGTCACTGAGCGCTCCAAGAAGCCTTGGCAAAAGACAAGCAAATCATATGTTCAGCCTTGGATATGTAGGGTTTGTTACAGCGTAACCTGTTCTCCTCTCACAAGAACAGATGWTACATTCATACGATGGTTGTTGACCCAGTGATAGAAAGTTGGTGGGAAGGCAAGACTGAGATTCATTTAAAAAGATGGTCAAAAATTGGTGTGTCCTTTTTCTGTGCCACATCCCTCTACAAACAATGAAAAAGTCCCATTCAACGCCCAGCTTCGCCCAGGCTTCTGCCACCCAGTATTTGAACTTGATCAAGCCAGGCTTCTTGAGTCTCAGTTTTCTATCAATGGGGGATGAGTATAACTACTCATATATCAAAGCCTGACCTCAGAGCCTGGCAGGTAGAGCTGCTTCATAAGAGCTGCTTCATTGCCCTCTCCTTTACCTGAGGCCAGTGGTTCCACAACTGACTGCATTTTAGATCATTTGGAAAGCTCTAAAACAAAACAAAACAAAACCCCATGGTGTCTGTGTCCCATCCTAAAATGAGAACATTTCATTTATTTGGGGATGGAACTGAGGTATAAATATTTTTTCAAAGCATCAGGTGATTCTATTGTCTAACCAGGGTTGAAAACCCACRCCCTTAAGGAATATGAAAACAGATAAAATGCTATTTGATTATACATTATTTAAAATAAAGTTTTCATAATATAAAAAGCTTTCAAAAGTAGTATGACTAGCTAGCTATTCATGGGTGCAGAGCTTTAAGAAAGGTTTATGAATAAATTACAGAGTCAATAAGTAGTACTGGATACTCTCAGGGACTGAAGGCTGCTCCCACAGGCAGACTGAAGATAAGCTCAGTGATGCTGCCCTGTGGAAAGAACAGGCTCAGAACGCCCAGTATTGTTTATAGAGAAGACTAACTTCCTGTTCTGTGCTGTGTCTCCCCACCCACACTGCCCCCAGAATTCTTCGTTGATTTCCTAACCCCCAGGACCTTAGCATGTTACTATGTTTGGAGATAGGGTCTTAACAGACACAATTAGTTCATTACGGGGGACTCTAATCCTATGTGACTGATATCCTTAGAAGAAGAAATTTGAACCCAGAACTAGAAGGGAGATAATGTGAAGGCCCAGAAGATGGCCATCTACAAGTCAGAGAAAGAGGCCTGGAATAGATCCTTCCCTTACCACCTTCAAAGGAGCCAACCCYGCTAACACCTTGATCTCAAGACTTTCAGTCTCCATGACTAGGAAAAAAAGAAATGTCTGTGGTTAAGCCATCCAGCCTGTGGCATTTTTAATGTGAAAACTAAAGCATCAGGTGGGTATTTGGTAAGAGAAAAAGACACCTTGCCCCATTTTATCAAGAAATAGTCAGAGGGAAGATGGGTATTTGTTTATAAGGTCCTTGAAGCTGAGTAATTTGACATTATTGGAAAGGTAATTTCAAATATGAGAGAAGACTCCGGGAGAGGTGTATCATTGTTTCATGGCTCACAGCCGCCTTCTGAATGAGCTGCCCTTCCTCACAGCTTCTGCTGTYCTTTCTTTACAGGGCTGCCCTGCCCTCCCCTGCTGCCCCGGTAGCTTGGTCCAAACTTTTTTTTTTTCTTTTGGTGGGGGGCGTGGAGGGGTGGGGGGGTATTGATTCCAGGGTCTCATGCATACCAGAGCTAAAGAACTGCTTAGTCTTTTAAGCTGCTAAATTTTGGTGGGCTGTGTTGGGAATTGAACCCAGGGCCTCATGCATGCTAGATAAGCACCCTACCACTGAACCACATTTCCAACTCATTTTAGTGGGTTTGTTAGCTTGATACTGTTAACAAGTGGCAGAGGATCCAGGACTTAAACAGTAACCATTTGATCATTTGATTTCAATGCCAGTGAATATTTTATTAAGGGAAAATAAGTTTTTCCTTGATTATATGCATCTATTTATATAGATATTTCTCAAAGTGAGGCCTGCAGTTTGCTTACATGAAGATTACCAGGGGGCCAGGGCTGTGGCTCAGTGGCAGAGTCTTTGCCTGGCATGTGTGGAGCACAGGTTCAATCCTCAGCAATAGCACATAAAAATAAATAAAATACCTGTAATCCCAGTGGCTGGGAAGGAGGAGGCAGAGGATAATGAGTTCAAAGCTGCCTCAGCAAAAGCAAAAGGCTGAGCAACACAGTCAGACCGTGTCTCTAAATAAAATACAAAATAGGGTTGGGGATGTGGCTCAGTGGTTGAGTGCCTCTGAGTTTAATCCCCAGTACCATCCCCCAAATATAAATAAACAAGTATTCTATCCATCTATACCAACAACAACAACAACAAAAATTTAAAAAAAGATTATCAGCTGTTGGGGCTGCCATTATAGCTCAGTGGTAGAGCACTTGCCTAGCACATGTGAGCATCACATAAAAATAAATACATAAAATAAAGGTATTGTGTCCATCTACAACTAAAAAAAAAAAAAACTTTAAAAAAGATTATCAGCTGCATGTCAATTGTGGATTCACCATCTTAACCCAGACTCACTGAATTTGACTCTTCCAGGGGTGGAGTCTCAGAACTATTCTTAAACAAAATTCCCTAGTGATTTTCATGGATGTTAAAATGAAGGATTACTACTTCCGTTCCTCACCTAAAATTTTCAACACAATGAATCATATTTTCTCACTGTAGTAATGTTTTCTAGTTGTGTGTTCTTCTAGGGTTATTTGTGACCTAAGATTTTGCCAAAAAATATATACTGCCACCTTTTTTCAGACCTGCATGGTGTTGACACGTCCACTAAATGTCTGGTAGAAGGAGTTACCTAGCAATGAGTGAATGAATTGAGATAACAGGATGGTGAAATAGTGTATCAGAAGCTGGGTACAGTGGCTCATGCCTGTAATCCCAGGTGCTCAGGAGCCTGAGGCAGGAGGATTGCAAGTTCAAAGCCACCCTCAGCAAGCCTCAGTCAGCCTTAGCAAGGCTCTAAAAACTAAGTCAAACCCTGTCTCAAAATAAAATATTAAAAGGACGGGATATGATTCAGTGGTTAAGCACCCCTGGGTTCAATCCCTGTTATTATATATATATATATATATATATATATATATATATATATATATAAACACATACATACATACACACACACACACACATACATATACACACATATACATACATACACACACATATACATACATACACACACATATACATACATGGAGAGGAGAGAGAATATGAATCAGTGTTACTCCTTGGATTAAAACTGGGAAATTACTTTTTTCTCTGTATTTTTCTTGTTCTATAGTTCTATATGTGACCCAATGTCAGATGTAGAAAGAGGGGAGAAGTGGAATAGGGAGGGCATTTCACAAGTAGCAGAATATAGACTTGTTTTTTACTGTTGTTACCAAGAACATTGTTATTTTCACAGAGCAAGTACTAAGAGGAATAGGAAAGGACTTGACCCGAGATTGACTTTGAAAGCTTGTTCAGCCTGAACTACCCTTAGCAGGAACATTTTTGTTCATCTTCTGAAGTAGCCATTAGAGAAAATGGTAGGACCACTTCACTAGGGATGAAGTCTCAAGTTCACCTAACTATAGTTAAAAGTTTAAAGTGTCTTAGTTTGATGTCTTTTTGACTGGTCTGTTTCATGGCATTATATATATATATAATTTTTTCACAAAAGGTAGAAAAGGAAAAATAATAACAGAAGGAAACTACTACAAAAAGTGCTGCTGGAAGCCTGTTCTTCAGATGATACCAGCACTTAGAACTTTTTATTCAAAGCTCTTTATTTCCTACAAACATATATATTTTTTTCACTGTTCCAAAGGTAGAAGAGGCTCTAAAGAGCCAAAGTGCTGTGCTTTTTAAAACCTGCTGATCGACTTCTCATCTCTAACAGTACTGAAGTTTTGCCAGACCGGTTTATGTATGACAAACCACAAAACATATGCATAAGAAATGCAAACTCTTTTAAATGAGCTAATCCCAGGGTAAAAACTTACTTCTGGAGCAACGCAGCTGTTAAAATCAGTCATATTTACAATTTTTATATATGAGTTTATTTTAATAAAAACAAGTCACTCAGTGAGCATGATCTTTAAACAGATTTATGTGGGCTAGCACAATCTGCTATGCTAAACATATATGCATATTGCTTAAGTCTGCAACTGGATTTTTCAAGTGGTAACAGTCTTGCTTTGTACAAGGATACTAAGTAATTGGCAGCACTCCAGCTAAGGACACTGTTCTCAGCACTGTGCTATTGAAATTGTTTTCCTGGACAGAATTGCCCTGTGGCAATTGGGAGAATTCTGGGTTGCTGGCATTGAGCAGTGAACCAGGCAGACAGCTTATAGAGAGTAGGAGAYCATAAACTCTATAAAAAGGAGGAAAAGTAGAAGAAGAAAAGGATGGGAAGAGAGCAGGAAGGGAAGGAAAAGAGAAAAGTGAAGCTGATTTTCATCAGGTCTATCTAAAGGGTTTCTTTATCTTTGCTGGATCTCTTCTCACCTTTCACACTTTCATGCTCACGTGTTTTGCTCAGCTACTAGATTATAAACTCTTGGAAAACAGGAATACGGTCATCTTTCCAATTTCGTTGGCTTCATATCTGTGATTCAACCAATCACAATCCAGAAAAAGAAAAGGGCATCTGTACTGAACATTCCCAATTTTCTTCTTGTCATTATTGCCCAAATGATATAGTCTATTTGCATAGCATTTTCATTGTATTAGATATTAAAAATAACCTAGAGATGATTTAAAGCTTGGTGAGGATCTGGGTGGATCGTATGCAAATACCATGCCATTTTACATAAGGATAAGGCACTTGAGCATTGTTGAGATTTTGATCTCTTCAAAGGTTGTAGAACTAATCTCCTGCTAAACTGAGCTTTACTCTCCCACAGTGCCTGACATACATGATGCTAAAATCCKAGTGGCTAATTGCATAAGTAAAAGAAAAAATTTATGTATTTGAAGTATTTTCTTATCTTACCTCAGAGTAAGCCCTAAGTATAGGTTATGGGGTGCAGTACTGTCTCTAGGGAGTGTACTGAAATTTTGTGGGGGAAGTTTTTGTCTTTGTAGTTCTCTTATCTGGTGCCCAAAGCATTTACATTACGAAAAACCTATTATTGAGTTATTTTTAAAAATTGATATCAGTACAGCATTTTACGAAAAACTACTCTGTTTTGTCTTTATATGATTAGAACATTATACTGATTTCTTAAAATTATTTGTATAAGTAGTTTATATTATGAATTTAATTCCAGGAGAGTGAAGTGGTGTTAAAATTCTTTTTAAGTACAGGGCTTAGCAGGGCAGGATTGAGCTCTTCTGACTAAAAGATCATTAAGCTCCAGCATACGAAGTTTTTAGGATTCTAAGATGCAACCTACAAGAAGCTGGTGTACRTTGATTTCAACAATCAGGCTTTCACTTTAAGTAACTGCATATTTGAGGATTAATGTGGCTCAGTGGAGCGCTGCTGTCAAAGCACAAAGGGTCCACGACTGGGATGGGGGTGGGGAAGAACATCGAGGCGCCAAAGAGCTCTCACGCGTCCGGGCCGTGAATGTGCGCGTGAATGTGCGCCGAGTTGCCTGGAGGGTGAGTCGTTTCTTTTTGCTTTGGTTTGTATTCTTCATTTTAACAATGATGGGGTGGGGGGAAGGCTGAAGGGAAGAGGAGGGGCGGTGACGCCGTCCGGTTTTCCCGAAAGCCTGGGTCCTCAGCTGGTCCGCTGCGGGGCTGGTTCACACTGAGGCAGTGGGATTTGAAGACCGGGGCTTGGGCAGAACCCTCCAGAAGAGCTYGTGAGCGGGTAGCAGTGCTTTTGAGGTGCAGAGGGAGCAGAGAAAGACTTTGTCTCGCAGGACGATTTAAAGTGAGGTTGGACTGAACTTTTGGCGTCAGCGGTTGCAGCCGCGGCTCCTGGTGGAGTGGGGGCGAAAAGAGGTGGAGCTGCCGCTGACCGGGGGCGCGGGACTGTTGATAGCGGGTGGGGCGGTGCGGCTGGAATCTAGACGGGCCCCAGAAAGGCGGGGTTTCTAGTGACAGTGGGCGGGGCTTCTGCAGAAGGGCGTGGCTTGGTATTCCGACCACCAGGACATGGTGTTTGCAGTGACAGCGGCATTTCAGAGGAAGACAGCGTGCCCACCTCTCATGGCCTGACCATCGCCGTAGGAGGGCGGAGCGCCCCGAAGGCAGGGCTGCCTTCTGGCCCGAGAGGGCACCGGCTTCTGACGATAGCGGGCGGAGCTAGCGCGGGCAAGGGGCGGGGCCGCTTTGAAAGCGGGGAAGGCGGGGCTTATGTTGACAGGGGGGCGGGGCAGTTCCCTACCTCCAGCGACTCTTCTATGCTGGAGAGTGGCCGGGGTCGGATCCCAAGGGAGCCGCAGGGTCCAGGCGTGGGCAGCCTGGCTCAGCGCGGGGTTGGGGCGCACGGAGGGCCCCGCCTCGGCCAGCTCACTCCCCTCCCCTCCGCCCCGGCTAGCCGCTGGGGCGCGCGTCTCTCCTGGCACCCCTACCCCGGGTCCCCGCTCTCTGCTTGGCCGCCGAGCTCTGAGGCCCCTGTGCGGGACCGCGGAGTGGTTCCGGGTTTAGGGTTCACAGGTCAGAGTTGACTCCCTGAAAAGTGCAGCCGGTTTGAAATGCAAGATGGCGGCGGYGGGGCTCTGAGAGGCGCGGCGGCCCCTGCAGGTAGCTGCGCGAGCCGGCTCCGCGACGCGGGCCCTGAAGCCCSGGTCTGCGAGTGGGAAGGGAGCGCCGAGCCCGCGGCCCGCAGGCAAAGAGGAGCGGCGCGGGGGCCGGCCGGAGGAGGGCAGCCCCGGGGCAGAGACTCGGGGCTGAGCCCGCCCGAGGCAGCTGGTGGCGGGGCGGCCCCGACGCGGGGCGTCTGAGGAGGAGGGACCTGGCCTGCCCTGCGGCTGGGGAGCTGCGGCAGAGGGACAGACCCACAGCTCCTTCGCGCTCGGGATTTCTGCAGCGTGGAAGGAGCTTGGGGGCGGGGGCGCTGGGAAGGAAAAATCCCAGCCCCTTGCTTGGGAGAGGTCTGAACAACTTGGGGTTGTTGAGGAGAGTGGGGATTGGGTCCGCCTGCTCGAGGACGCTGGCAGTTTTGCGGGTCCTGGGGTGGGGGTTTCAGGAGTGCTGCCCTCGGGGACGTGTGGCYACCTCGTGGGGACTTAGCTTCCCTGAAAGTAAAGAGATTCTCCTGCTGGAACTGAGCGCACTGGCTTTGGGGTGGGATCCCCAGGAGACCCTTGGAAGGAAGGCTGGGCACCCATTTCGGGGCCAGGCCGCGCCCCCACTTCGGAAAGGACTCGGAGCTGAGTCCTTAACAACTATATTACCATTTTGAGGAAGCCCTGAGATTTAGGAGATAAGTTAATTAAAGAGCATGGAAATGCCATCTATCCCTATCAGCCCGCGTATGAGGGGATGGGGGGCAGACCCAGAGGAGTCTCTCAATCTTTGAGGCCTAAAGGGAACGACCTGGTGATTTCGTGAGGGGGATCTGAAGACTGGGAAGGGGAAATTAGAGGAACTGCGTCTAGTAGCCGGAAAGTAGAGTCTGGCAGATGCCCTTTCCCCATGTATTTACACCAAAGGTCCAAGGGGACTTGAAATTCTTTGTTTCAGGATGTTTCCCCCTCTTCTTCCCTCCGTGGACAGCGGTAAGGAAAGAGCAAAAAGCCCGGAGAACGAAAAGATTCCGTTTGATATGTTTAGCTTAGTTTAGCGAGCGATSAAGCCTTTGGGAAGGCATCAGCGAGACCCAGGGCAGGGGAATTAGGAAGCGAGAACGGGACGGTAGGATAGGAATGCAGGGAAGAGGTTGGGTAGAGCAGAAATTCCACAGCACGTTTCTGTCATCAGCCCAGCTTTCTAAAAAGACAGATGAGAAGAGCTTCACGTTCAGAGAAAAATGTTAAAAAGGCTGATAGGGAACTTGTGATGTGATTAAGTTGAGGTTTAATGTAACTTGATAAATTCTCTTGGAGGGTAATATTATAGAAAAAAAAAAGGAAAATCACAAGATGAAATGTACAGTAGTTCACAGTTAGGATGAAGCAGCCCCCCCCCCCCCCCCCCCCCCCCCCCCCCAGGAATAGTGACTGTTTTGGACTGGAGTTTGTTTGTGTGTGTGTGTGTGTGTGTGTGTGTGTGTAAGTGTACCTTTACATTTGTTGATGTTGGTCATTATTTCTGTCTATGTCTAAAAGCTTTTAGTTTTGTTATATGGTGCTACATGAATTATCTTTGTTTCTGAAAAAATTGCCCTCAAAAACTCATTTGTTTTTGGGGCTGGGGCTTTAGCTCAGTGGCAGAGCACCCAGTGGCAGAGCACTTGCCTAGGACGGGTGAGGCATTGGATTCGATACCCAGCACCACATAAAAAAAGAATAAATAAAATAAAGTCATAAAAACATATATATTAAAAAAGTCATTTCTTTTTAAGCTTGTAGTGAAAATTAAAAAGTTGTTTTTAACGGGGATATTGGCACTAGTATATTCATAGATTATTTTAATTTCTAAAGTAGCAATTGTGACTCCTGATCTTAAGCAAAAGAATTGAGAATGCTGCCAACGACAATACAGCAGTAACAGGTCAGAAAAAGAAAGGCTTTCATGATATTTTTTTCCTTTTAGTTTTTCTCTCCTTCCTCTAAGCATTTTAGGGTTATGCAGACTAATTTTAAGCAAATAAAATGTCTAACCTTGAATCCTTTCAATATAAAAATGATTGCATTGATGATTTTTTATAGAAGTATGTCTTCACATGATTTATTTAACAGTTGTAATTAAAATGAGAAAAAAAATTAAAGTAAGACTTGGGTAACTGATGATAGAGTTATGATTCATACAGATTTCTTGAGCCATTCTTGCATTTTCAAAAGAGCTTTAATGTCTTTAATGGAAATGTTTTAAAGATACAGTATAAACTAGTTCTGAGCTTCACATTTGGAACATTAGTATACATGTGTGCTGTTCTTTGGTTTCCCCAAAGTGCATGTAACTCTAGTTTTATATTCAATTCTGAACAGATTAGGCTGGGTGAACCAGAGAGGCATTGACGCCAGATGGTTTGAAAATATGCTAAGGCTGAAAACATAAATGTGCCTGTGTGGTAGATGCTCGTTAGTAGATTTATTCCCCTTATAGCTGAGCTTATTATTTCACTAAATTTGGAGGGTAGGTCATGAATGAGGTAGCAGTGATTTTACCTTTAATGGTCCTTGTAAGTTCTTTTTTTCAATAAACATGAATAATATTTTACAGTTATTAATGAAATTAATAGCATATGTGTGGTGGTAAATCTTGATAGTTTCTCCTTTTTATATTTCACAGTAAATTGAAAAGGTATGATATATTATATATTTTCTTTCTTACATTGAGCATAAAATGTGATATTGGGACTTAGCTTGCCATAAATTCTGGCTTAATATTTAAAGTGCTTTTAAAATAATGAAATTGATCACAAATGTAGTTGAAAAGTAACCTTTTTATTTATGTTGCAGCATTATGGATTTGGGCTCAAAAGACCATTATTTTAATTTTAACAGTATTGAAAGTTAAATACCTAAGCAAGTTTTTAATCTAGTATAGTCAATTCAATCATTCAGAGAGCTGTCTAGAATTAACTATGGTACTGCTCATAGTAATAGCCCATATTGCCTATTTTTAAGACATCTGTTTATTCATTTATATTATGGCAAGCATATTTAACTTGAAGTCTAAATTTTGTAACAAAATTCTTTTAAATTATACTATATATGTCAAAAGTAATTTAAATTTATTTTAGAAAACTGATTATTACCCTTTGAATAACAGCCAGTGTTTCTGTAATATCACTGAAATGTATTATTGGATCTTTGTTGCTCTGATATATCTATAGTTGTGAGTAACCATATTTGCATAATGAAGTTGGTGATTTAGATTACTAGTCAGGATATTAATTTGAGTTAACATTTTKGAGATATGCATTTTATACAATTTATTTTAAAAGTAAATTTTTTTTACCAGCTTTTGGTCTTAAAAGATACTTAATCTTGGCATTTTATATAAGCAGTATTTTTWAATTTTTTATTTTGGGTGCTGGGGATTGAACCCAGGTCCTTATGCCTGTGAGGTAAGCACTCTACCAATTGAGCTATATCCCCAGCCCTCCATAATGAATTTAAGAAGCACAAAGATATGCACACACACATAAAGCTATATAATCGATGCATATTTATCTTTGGCCTACACAAATACAATGATAAACTTTGGAAAAGCATACATAAGCAATTTCAGAATAAAATTTATTYAAGGGAGTCAACTGAATAAATCTTTTTCGGGGGGCAATATTGATGATCAAACCTAGGGGTACTCTACCACTGAAATTACATCCTCAGTTCTTTTTATTTTTTGAGACAAGGGCTCACTAAGTTGCTGAGGCTGATCTCGAACTTGTTATCCTCCTGCTTTAACCTCTCATATTGCTGGGATTAAAGGCATGTGCTACCATGCCTAACTTAATAAGTCATTTTTAATGCAGGATTTTTATGAAGTTTTTAGATTTAAAAAATTTTTATCTACCAAAATTAAAATATTGTCATAGCCATATCATATGCATTTATCATTTTGAGTAAAATATCTGTCATTACATTTTGGTGATTTCAATTTTCTCTTTCCTAGAGATCTTTCCCGTTTCTATTTGTTGTGAGAAATGAAAAGAAATGGGAGGTTTGATGTTTCTGAGCACTTCATTTAGAATTATGTTTTTCTTCTATTCCGGTGTCCTCCCTTTTACAGCCAAGTAGAAGTTTGTTAGAACTTCACTGGGCATGGGCTTGGGAGTATGAGGGTTGATGAGAAAAGAACAATTTCTCTTCATTACTATAAGATTATTTATATCAGAGATTTGTTTTAAGAAATACCTGTTAAAATGGTTCAAAATTGTTCATTTTGAAACTGAGGTATGTGTGTGTGTGTGTGTGTGTGTGTGTGTGTGTGTGTGAAAGAGAGAGAGAGTGGGGAGAGAGAAGATATTAAATTATCATTGATTAATGTCTACCTGTTAAAGCTAACTTGTTCCAGAATTATTTAAGATGCTCAAAGGTATGAAATGGAAAACAAAATGTATTGGTTGATATTTACTCAGATTTTAAAATATTTTACAGTTTGTCAACACTTGGCAAATTTTAAACAAAGAATTCCTTTGTTATGTAACTTGAAGTTAAAACCTTAAATAAAATCAGAAAAATCTAACACTTGTTTTTGTTCTTACTAAGTACCAGGAAATATTCTAAAAACTTTACATGTGTTATTTCTTTCAATCCTCACAAAGCTTTATTAACTAAATAAAGCTATTTGGGCTGGGGTTGTGGCTCAGCAGTAGAGCGCTTGCCTAACACGGGCGAAGCCCTGGGTTCAATCCTCAGCACCACATAAAATAAATAAATAAACTATTATTTGCCCCATTTTATAAATGAGAGGCTTGAGGCACAGATAGGCTAAGTCACTTTTCTAGAGCTGCACAGCTAGTGACAGTGCTGATATTTGAACCCAGTCTGTTCCAGAGCCCAGGCACTTTTTTTTTTTTTAATCTATCTACTGCCAGATCAGCTTTTTGTGTTTGCTTGCTGAGGCATGGTAGCACATGCCTATAATCTCAGCAATTTGAGAGGTTGAAATAGGAGGATCACAAGTTAGAGGTCAGCCTAAGCAACTATAAGATATATATAAATATAAGATATATGGTTGAGATGATTCCTTAATTTTTGAAATCTACTCATGCTATAATTTAAAAAATATTTTGAAGTAGAAATATTCTAAAGTAATAGGATTTAATTCAGAAGTATCAAAGAGCGAGCGCATTCATTCTCTGGTTGCCTTGCACCTTTATATGTCTTGGTAGCTCTTCTTAAGAGACTTTGGGTCCACAAAACATCTTGCTTTTTCTGTGTGATTTAAGAATGGATTGAAATAGGTTACTAATATCCTACAGTATTAATAATTCATTTCGGAAAATAACCTCTCCTCTTTGGCAGCTGTTTCCTATCTTCTTTTCTAGTCCACATCCTGTATAGATGGATAGCTAAGGAGTGGCTGAATAAGGAGATAGCAGGAAATGAAATTGTAGAATCCCAGGCTAGAGAGATAACAAGATGCTCCACTGGGCCCAGCAGGAAAATGCTCTTGCTTTTCATAAAAATAATGTACTTATTTAGCTTAAACATTAATTCAAAAGTATTTTACTAGACAAAGTTTTTGTATATTTGTTATTTCTTTACTTAATAGGATTCTTCATAAACTTGTATAATGTTAGTAGGAATCAAAAGATAAGCTATTTGGGATGGGGTTGTGGCTCAGCGGTAGAGCGCTTGCCTAACACGTGCGAAGCCCTGGGTTCAATCCTCAGCACCACATAAAATAAGTAAATAAATAAATAAAGGTATTGTGTCCAACTATGACTAAAAAATAAATATTAAAAAATAAGCTATTTTAGGAAAATCATTTTCCTTACTATCCATTTACTGTGATATATGGAGTATCTGTGCTTCAAGAACAATAAAAATTCTTTCACCTTCAAAAGCACTATTTATTGTTATTCTCATAGGAGAGGCAATTATAGTTTTTATTAAAATTTCCTGATTGGTTTAACTACTCTGGGTACTATACAAAACCTTTTTTTGTATATTAATCTGAATTTTCAGAGAAAGATTTTCAGTTTTTTTTTATTATTCAGTACCAGTGTTACAACACAGTAATTATAGTACCATTTGATGGTAGCTTTCTAATAAAAACTAAATGGTTAAACTCTAGCCATTTTGTCAGACTTATGGTTAGGGTAGAATAGCATTAATATATTCAAGTCTTTGTTGGTTGGTGTGGCCAGCATTAATATTTCTTTCATTTCAGTTAATACATATTTAGGATGCAGATATCCTAACTTAGGTGTATGTGCAAACACAAACATATATATACCTACTCCCAATTCTTTCCTTAGCTAAGTTGTCTTTCATAACCTTTATGTACTAATTTTAAAGAATTCCCAATTTTGACATCCTTATTTTTACATTAAAGACTGTATCTATTCACATTTTGAAATGTTAATGAACTAGTCTGCTACTTGGCTGTTCTATATAAGTAAAACTGTTAATGTGTAGTTATGAATTTTGTGTTTTCTATCAATATTTGAGTTGGCATTTAGATAATTTTAAAAATTTTCAGTTTTTTTTCAAAATTGCATTTATTTTTAGCTGCACACAGTGGTGCACACCTCAGGAGACTGAGGCCAGAGGATTGCAAGTTTGAGGGCAGCCTCTGCAACTTATTGAGACCTTGTCTCAAAATAAAAAACAAAAAGGACTGGGAATGTAGTTCAGTGGTAAAGCACCTCTGTGTTCAATCCCTAGTACCACATACCAAAAAAAAAAAATTGCATTTATTTTTAAAAAGTCATAGCATGAACTGTAAAATTTCCTAAGACTAGGATCATGTTTTGAATAATAAAAGGATATTTTTTTTTATAGGAGAAGACTGATAAGTACTTTGGACCTGTTGGTAATGATGGCCTGAGCTACACACCTAATTTGAAGGGTTACCCTTCCGTTTCAAAGAACATGATGCTGAGGAAGCTATGGCAAGTATGTGTTTAACTGTTTGGGGATGTAAAGCTAAGATGCCAATGTACTCACTTTATATTCCATGATACTTTATTTGACTAATGTTGTAAAAGCTCTTCTTAAAAAACTTATGCTTAATACTTTTTAAAAATATGTGCTTTTAAACTTTAACTACTTTAAATTGACTACTTTAAATTTATCTACTTTTAATTGACTAATTTCAAAGGAAACAGTATCACACTTCTTAATAAATCTTATGTGGTTTATTTATAATTGATTTTTCAATTAATATTTGCCAAAATCAGCAGAGCATCAGACACCATTCCAGGTACTGTGATAACAGAAGTAAATAAGACAAATAAAATCACAGGGACAGTACCTTTAGTGTGGGGAAATTGATCTAGAAATTTTACTAGTTTTTTCTTTCTATCCAAAAAAGGATTCAAGACTTACAAGAACATATTTGGGGGGTGGAGTGGGATACTAAGGATCTAACCAAGGGGTGTTTTGCCGCTGAGCTACATCCCTAACCCTTTTAATTTTTTATTTTGAGACAGTCTTAATAAGTTGCTGAGGGTCTCATTAAGTTGCTGAGGCTGGCCTCGAATTTGAGATCCTCCTAAGTCTCCCAAATCCCACTGTGCCCAGCTACAAGAACAATTTCTAAAAATATATTTTTAATGTATAGGCTATTAGAAATAGTTCATGATAGTTATGAAAATTATGATACTCACAAATATTTTTATTAATCATACCAATATTTAAATGCTTGACTGTAAGTATAGGCAAATACATACTTTTATATTTTAAATAAATTTTTAAAAAATACATACTTGTATATTTTAAATAAATAGTATATTTTTCACATACTATTTAGATTACATACCATGTGTTTGAAATATTTATATTTTAGTATAATTGTTATTTAAATGAGTCTAAAGTATTAGGAAAGATTCAACAACATTAATGTGATGATCGTTTATATTTAAAAAAATTATAAAGGTCATACAAGTTGATAAAAAAATTATAAAGGTCATACAAATTGATACTACCAATACTAATCATTACTTTCTTTCAAAGTGTTTTTAAAAATTGAATGAATATATCCTCAGTGAAGTGTGTAATAGTTGCTTTGTTTCATAAATAGGGACTATAATGGACAAGAATGGTCTCATAGAAAATCTCTCTTGGAACTAAGAATGGCATTCTTGTGTTAGACTGGCTATGAAAGATGTACCACCTCCTTCAGAAAAGTAGAGAAATTTCTTTTCAAAGAAAATTACTTTTGTAATAGTCACAAACTATTAATCAGCTAGAAAATTTTACAGTAGTGCTAGTTTACATATCGCTCAGTGAATTATGTGCCTACCTACATTACAGCGGGGCTAAGAAAATTAGGATGTTAATGTCCTAGAACCTCTCAAAATTTTTCTCTGCTCCTAAAACCTGGGATCAGAGATTGCCAAGAGAAATCTGCTTTTGTGTGTGTGTGTGTGGTACTGGGGCCTTTGCATGGTAGGCATGTACTCTACCAACTGAGCTACATCCCCAGCCCCACTAGGAGAAATCTGTAGATCTTAGTTTCTTCTTTTAATCTTTAGTATTATTTCTTAGGTGGACAAAAACAAATAGGGCTGGGTGCCTGCTGAAGGCCTATAAACCCAGAGGCAAAACCCAGAAGCCAGAGGATTCTGAGTTCAAAGCCAGCTTCATTAACAGTGAGGTGCTAAGCAACTCAGTGAGACCCTGTCTCTAAATAAAATACAAAAAAGGGCTGGGGATGTCATTCAGTGGTTGAGCACCCCTGAGTTCAATCCCTGATCCCCCCCACCCCACCCTCGCAGCAAAAAACAAAGAAGATAGTTTCTTTACCCTTCAGCATTAATTAGCATTAATAAAAGGATCCTCTGAAATTAGATTATCTTTAACCACAGTTTTTTAGATGCTTTCACTTTTATTATATTCAGTCCAGTCTATATTCACTACATTTAAAAAAGAAATTTTAAGTATTTTTATTTTTCCAAATTCACTTTAATACTTGATTTGTTATTGTCTTGTCCATTTTTAACAGTTTTCTCAAGATTTGTCTCAAGATTTAATATTTAAAAGAACTTAACTATGATTTTTAAATATGTCAGATTTTAAATGTGAATGTCTTAAGTTTGGAAAGTCTACCTTATTTCTCTCTCTCTCTCTAAACACAGTGGATACCCTTTATTTTAATTTGACCACATTATTCTTTGTTCCTACTTTATTTCAGGCATTCTATGATTTTGGTAGATTGTTAACTTTTAGTTTGAATACAAACATGTGATAATAAGTATTTTCAGCTGGCTAAACAGAACTCTGAGAGAATTGAAACTAAATTGAATACAAAGCCTAAGAATTCTCAGGGAATATATATGAATGCAGATTCCTAAGAATTCTCAATGTGTGTATTTTTGGTTTGTAAACTGTTTAGTTGATGCTAGATCAGAATTAACACAAACCTTAAAAACTGTAGTGCCTTCTAAAATTTTCTTATTTGATCAAGAATTGGTGTAGAAAACAAAGTTTGTTTTCGTTCACTTAAAATCTTAACTAAAATAACATGCTTTTGTGACTAACTAGGCCAACATGACGTTATCCATTAATCATTTAATTTAAAGTACAAGACAGTCAAGAAAGAAAGAAAGAGAAGCTAACAAATTCAGTGCAGTTATAGCTACTTAATTATACATTTTTTAGTACTAAGTAGAATTTAAAACCATCTATTAGCTTTTTTTGGTACTGTATTATATTGATACCTTACTTTTTAATTTTAAAAAAGATCATAGAACACCATTAAAATATAGTTTTCTCATGGGACAGAGAAGTAGCGATTCTAAATATGAATTTGTATTTACTGTCTTTTTAAGATCTATATCCTTTTTTCCTGATTTTCCTGTAGGAATAATTCTTTGAATGTTTTTATCTACCTTGTTTCACTCTTAGATATATACTGTTCATACATAAAACTGATTTCTTACAAGCAAATTTTAGATGTTAGCAAATGTTTATTGAATGTCACTGGAGTTTGTAGCATGTTCACTACTTTAGTGAATTGAATGCTTTAGATCACAGGGTATTTTAATATTGTAATGACCAAGGTAATTTTTTATCTGTAAGGATTTTACCATCACAAATAATCTGTAAAGCAAACATGGTTGTATTTAATTCCTTTATAAATAAGTGTTTAATGAAATAAAATGCATATTATAATACACAGGATGTATATGTATATTTTTTTTCAAGTTTTTTTTCAGCAGATATTATTGGAGCCCTAATATGCACTTTGTTGGGCCCTAGGGATATAATGGAAAGCTAAGCAGACATTCCTCTGACCATAAAATAACTTGTATAAGAATTGCCAGAATTTTTATAGTATTATGAATAAATTTTGCTTTCATTAAGTCCTTTTCTGTAGAGAAACTTTGTTGTGATTATTTTGATTATATCAGAATCATGAGTTAATGGAGGAGCATTCTCCTCTCAGGAGAGGAGCCAGGATGCAGATGGATCCCTAGAAATTGGCTTGGCCAGGTTTATACCCTAGAGAATATGGATGATTTTGAGGGTTCTTAGAACCAGCTTGATTCCTTGGAATGTGGAGCAGCCCCTCCAAAAAATACCTGGAATATACCTGGCCCCTCCAAAAAAATTCCTGGAATATACCTGAAGGCTATATATACCGAGACATGCCTGCTCCTGGTGGAAAAACCTTTATAGAACACATGGTTTTGGCCTTAAAAATAGAAAGGAAACTTTGTTTCCAGCTTGAGGCAAATGACCATAGGAATATTTTAGTCTATTTGCAATTTTAAGGACTTGTAACTGTTTTTGTTGTATTTTATAATAAAGCAGAGTTATAACAATATTAAAGAAACCGTGTAAATGTCACACGTAAAAATCCCATCTATAAACTCATATAAAAATCTCACTGTCTATAAAATTTTGCTCATCAAATCTTTGTCCATGTACATATTTCCTCCCAGTTATTATAATTAATACAAAAAATTTGTTCCAATTTGAAAAATTTTAGGTAAATATTTTTTCACCTTTTAGTTAGCATTTTAAATAATAACAAAATCAATTGTATAACAATTGTTTTAATTAAAAAATTTTTAAATGTATTTCTCCAAGGAAAGGTTAACTAAAAATAGTTTTTATGAGTAATTGTATTTACAGTGCTGGATGAATTTATATGATATTTTTATTGTGTTTTAATTGCAAAATCACCTAACTACTCAGTTGTGCAACTGACCTCTAACCCCTTTTTTACAGGTGAATAGTGCAAGGTCCCCCAAATTGATTTTGAGCCCTGTTTTGAGTTGACCTTCAACTAGAGGATGAGATGCCTGTCAGCTAATAGTGATTTCTGTATGACAGTTTTCCTGTCCTGGCCCCATTGCACATTAATGAAAAAGAGAGATTAATTGGAACAACATCATAGCAATTCTTACTCTATATTTTTTCTTCTGCTTTTTCATTCAATTTGTATGTCTTGTCAGCTGATTAATTTACTTTAAAAAATAAGGTGGTAAAGTGTATAATACTTAATAGATGGTATTTTTATTCTCTCAAAAGAATTTTTCAAAGACTGGAAGATAACATTAATTCTGATAACACATATTCTGTATCAGAATGGGTGAAGGAAGTATTCTTATTTGTACAGCCTCTGGGCAAGATACCACTATTCCTGTTTTCCCCAGGGAAACCTTCTCTTCTCTTTCTAGAAGCATCCTGCACTGTGCTACTTGTTTCTCTCATTGCTTTGGTCATAGTTATTCTAATTGTTGGCTGCCTATCTTTCTTGCTCCCTTGCTAATTAATACCTGATAGAGCAGTCTGTCTTGATCATCAGTGTCTCCCTAGTCTCTTGGCACATGGTCGACATTCAACAAGTCGTTGTTCAATGAATTTGATGAAGAATTTTGGTTTCATAGGTGAGGAGTCTCAGGTTGAAACTGAGTGGCTTTACCAGATATCTTACAGAAGGGAACCTAGCCCCTGTAGTTTAGCCCCTCTAAGAATTAATTACTTTCGGCCGGGTTTCTTCTTCCACAGAACAGGTTAATTGTTCTAAGGTCCTTATTTCCTCCAAAATTATGACTTTAAAACAAGAACCCTGAACATTCCTTTTTCCCTCTTTGGTCTTTTTTAGACTATGTGTATTATGCAGAATTAAGCCATTGGGCCAAATCTTGCAGCTCTTTAGAGAATATCGTATTTCCTTTAGGAGCATGTTAACTAATACTCTGACTCTGGTTTTGTTAGCAGTCATGGAGAACTTGAAGGTAGGTCATGGTGAGCAAAAGTTTTAGAAGAGGAAAGAATAATATTTTGGGGGTCTATGTATTGGATATAGAAGTAACCAGATGTTGAGGCAATCTGAAACACCCAGGTGTTCAGCTTTTCAATTACTGAAGTCTTTTTTTTAAAAATATCTCTTAAGTAACTTTATTTAAAACTTGACTATATGGCCAAGACCAGTATTTTCAGAGGAAAAAGCACAATTTTTGATATCTATTACAAGATCATAATATAGAATATGAGTATATTATGCTTTTCATGACTTTAGCAAAAAAAAATAAGCTTTTAAAATTCACTTATATCTGCTTAAATTTTTATCAACTGAGCAATCTGAACTAGTGAACTAGGATGAAGAGAAATAAAAGTAATAATTTGGTAGCATATTACTGTTTATATGCCAGATAAAACATAAAATGCTTAACCTTGAGAGCTGGAAAGCCAAAAGAATAAAGAGATTGGGGCTGCTCCCTTTTTCCTCTGTGTCTTTTATTTCTGCTGGCTACTTTGTTCTATCCTGAAGCCCTGGCCTGCCTTGTCCAGTGAAGGCACATTCAGTTTACTGTATATTAGTTGTAAAATTCCATTGAAAATTTTAGCAGTGCCAGGGTGAGAAGGATTTTTGGAATTTATATAGTGTCTTGAAAGTATTTAAGTTTTTAAGACAGTCTTTCAAACACATCTTGGAACTCCTCGGAGATGTAAATGGGGTTGTGGCATCCATAGGACTCAGGGAATAGTTCAGCCTCTACCTTCTCTGACCAGATACCTACTCTTCTATATTTTGGAGTTCTCTGGAGCTGGTGTTTCTCATAGTATTTTATTTTAAAGTCTCCCTTGCTTAAAACAAATTGTTAAACTATCACTTATAGGTTGTTTTAGAAAAAATTCATCTTCCTTTTTTTTTTTTTTTTTGAGGATGGAGAGCCACTGATGATTGAATCCAGAGGCACTTTATCATTGAGTTACATCCCTAACCCTTTTTTATTATTTATTTTAAGATGATGTATCACTAAGTTGCTTAGGGCCACACTAAGTTGCTGAGCCTGGCCTCAAACTGCAATCCTCCTGCCTCAGCCTCCAGAGCTGTTGGGGTTACAAGTGTGTATAACTGGCAAGTGCCCAGAAACCCTCTATCTGGCTGTTAGCTTCCCCCAAATAAATATGGTTTGTCTCTAATTTCAGGAGAATGAGTCAAGACAGCTAACTCTCCTGCCTTTCAACAGTTTTTCTTTGTTATCCACATTGTGAATGATGCTCATTTATTATTCTTCTATCCATTTAGAGCTATTTGGGGAATTCCCTTTCTTTCTTATTTATTTGTGTGTGTATGTGTGTGTGGGTGTGCGTATGTGTGTGTAGGGGATTGAATGCAGGGCCTTACCTTTACCACAGAGCTACATTCCTAGGAATTTCCTGTTCAAATATTGATCTAACAGAAATGTTGATACTTAAAAGAAAAAAAAAGTGATGACCTCTATTTGATTAGAAGATGACATTATCTTAGTTTATAACATTTAGTTATAGTTTTACATTTCCCTATAATCTTTTAGAAATTAAAAGGAATTTTGTAGGAAAAAAAGTAGGACAACTTTAAGAGTAGGGGTTTGGACTGTCAATACTATTAGTATTACTAAGCTGAGCACTTTTTGTTTTGTAATTTGGGAAATCAGGGAATAGGGACATTTAGTCCAGCTCTTCCATCTGCTGCTTGAATCTAGCAAATGGATCTGTAGTCTGTACTTGAGGAATTGTAGTGCGGGGGATCTTACCACCTTCAAGTTAAGGCATTTTCTCTTTGCACAGCTATCTCCTAAAAATGTATCTCCCTTTACTGAGTCTGTATATCTTCTCATAGGGGCCAGACTTTGCTTGATAATTCTTTTTTAGTTGTAGATGAACCCAGTGCCTCATGTATGTGACGAACCACTGAACTGCAACTCCAGCCCGCTTTATAATCTTTTAAGCAAACTTTTTGTTTTGTTTTATTACTATTGGGGTTTTAACCCGGTGGCACTATACCACTGAGCTACATCCCCACCCCTTTTTAAATGTTTTATTCTGAGAAAGTGTTTCACTAAGTTGCTGAAACACTTGTGATCCCCCTGCCTCAGCCTCCCCAGTTGCTAGAATTACAGGCATGTGATATCATGTTCATCTAGCAAACTCTTTTCTCTTTACTTCATCTGTAATAAGGATGGTGCTAGTAAATGCAAAGATTCTAAATTACAGTGGCAAATATGGGAGACCCCTTATTCATTTTATTCATTGTCATTTGGTTTAGATTTCAGAGACATGTAAACCTTAATTTAGCATCTTATTTTTATTTGAAATATTTTGATTGCAAAATTTATTAAAATGAATCTGTATAATTCATATTTTATTGATATTCAAACTCAGTCTTGTGAGTTTTAGCCTCTGTTCTCTGTGGTGATGCCCTCAGGCTCCATTGAGTTTTGCGGGACTATTTTCCTATTCATATTAATTCAAATTAATAAACATTTAGTGATTACCTACTCGAGTACAGGCTTCTTGGGTGCACTAGAGATGCAAATATGAATGAGATATCAACCAATATAGCTCATCCGGGAATGCGTTTGAGATATAAAGGTTCTTTGCTTAAAGGGGAAGTACAGGGGATGAAATAGACCAAATTATGATGTGTGCAGGTATGAATAAATCACACTGAAGACTACTATTATGTATAATTATAATTCACCAATAAAAATATTTTTAAAAAGAACTGCTGTTACAAGCTCTCTTAGCAAAGAGCATGTTGGCTTCTTCTGAGCACTGAACACAGAGTGAAAAAAGGAAAAAAAAAAGCTCCTTTGCTTGTTTGTTCAATCTAGAGTTTTGGAGACTTTGTTTTATTGCAATAAAGCTGTTACTTAAAAAAGAATGGGATACATTATATATAATATAAAGACCACAGATGTAGATGGGGAGTGGGAACAGAAATGTTGCCTCTGCTATATGGTAAGTTGTAGACTAGAAAAAAAAACACAAGAGAAAAAAGTAACCTATGGTACAGAGAGATCATCATAGCAGGTACACAGACAAGTGTCCTAACATCAGGAATGGCATGGACAAAGGTCTGAAAGTGTACTGAGTGTCCCTGGAATGGCAGTCATTTCTGGTGTGTGGAAAGCATAAGGAAATTGGAAGAAGAAGAAAGATGGCAGAGATGAGGGAGAAAAGCAAGGTTGGGGCCACAGTGAAGGGAATTATGTACCTTATGGGGCTCAAACTTATTCTTCCAGCATTGGGGACCCATATTAGCAGATTTAGATGATTAGATATATTTAATAAATCCTGATAGCGTTTTATAAAATGATTAAGAATAATTGTTTATGAGACTTTGATCATTCATCTTTACCATTTTTTGCCATGTGTGAACTTCCTTTTTGGGCTAATGAGACAGACCTGTAGGAGAAAGAGGACATAATTGATGGATGTAATGGTGATCATTTTTGAGTAACTGTGATTGCTTTTTATAGTTTTGGGTTTGTTTTTTGCCACACTGAGAATTGAACCCAGCAAATTTCATAGCTAAGCAAGCACTCTACCACTGAGCTAYACCCCCAGCCATACCTTGTTAAGATATTGTCACTTTACACTGATAGTAGCATGTTTACAAAAGCAGGGCCACTCTTCATTCTCTTATAAGATTCAAATGGCTATAAAATTGAAATTAAAAAGTTTGGATCTGACGATAAGTATAGTACATAACTTTCAATGAGTTGGCTTGGAGGTATCTATTTTCATCTTTAGAGGACTTTTTTTCTCCCTCATTCTTACCTTATTCTAGATCTTTATAATTGAGCTATGCAGCAATATAAGTGAAATATAACTAATTTGCTTAAAAGATCATAGTCACTCATTTTAAATTTATTTTAATGTAGGTGATTGGAGTTGTGCTTCAAAAATTTCAGCAGTTCAGCGGTATTTTATCTGCCAACAATAAGCTCTTTACTTGATTGAACCATGAAAAAGCTGCTAATGAGACTTGTTGAGCACAAAAGTGGACTTGCAGAACCAAAAGCCATTGTTTTCAAATGAATAATCCTGAACAGTTTTAAGCTTCAATGCTTTTTAATCACCACTGAAATTTTCCCTGTAACATCAGCATGGCAAGCAGGAGAAAATCAACAATACCTTGCATGGTCCTCGCCAGTGAACAGGATCCAGACCTTGARTTAATATCAGATCTGGATGAAGGTCCTCCTGTACTTACGCCCATAGAAAACACCAGGGCAGAGAGTATCTCAAGTGATGAAGAAGTTCATGAATCTGTGGATTCTGACAATCAGCAAAATAAAAAAGTTGAAGGTGGCTATGAATGTAAATATTGTACTTTTCAAACTCCAGATCTAAATATGTTTACTTTCCATGTGGATTCAGAACATCCCAATGTAGTGCTAAATTCATCCTATGTTTGTGTTGAATGCAACTTTCTTACCAAAAGGTATGATGCACTTTCTGAACATAATCTGAAATATCACCCAGGAGAAGAGAATTTCAAGTTGACTATGGTGAAACGGAATAACCAGACAATCTTTGAGCAAACAATAAACGATCTGACTTTTGATGGTAGTTTTGTTAAAGAGGAGAATGCAGAGCAAGCAGAATCCATAGAAGTTTCTTCTTCAGGTATCTCTATCAGTAAAACTCCTATCATGAAAATGATGAAAAATAAAGTAGAAAACAAACGGATCACAGTCCATCATAACTCAGCTGAGGATGTTCCTGAAGAGAAAGAGAATGAAATCAAGCCAGACCGTGAAGAAAATGTGGAAAATGCAAATTCTTCAGCTTCAGAATCTAATACAAGTACTTCTGTTGTAAACAGAATGCACCCCAATACTGCCAGCACAGTAGTGACCCCCGCGGCTGTTCTTCCTGGACTAGCACAGGTGATAACTGCAGTGTCTGCTCAGCAGAACTCTAACTTGATTCCCAAAGTCTTAATCCCTGTTAGTAGCATTCCCACCTACAACGCTGCGTTGGATAACAATCCCCTTTTACTTAACACCTACAACAAATTCCCTTATCCAACAATGTCAGAAATTACAGTTCTTTCTGCTCAAGCAAAATATACAGAGGAACAGATCAAGATATGGTTTTCAGCCCAACGTCTTAAACATGGTGTTAGCTGGACTCCTGAGGAAGTAGAAGAGGCAAGAAGGAAGCAATTCAATGGGACAGTACATACTGTACCTCAGACCATAACTGTCATTCCTACACACATTTCCACTGGGAGTAATGGTTTACCATCTATTTTACAGACATGCCAAATAGTTGGTCAGCCGGGTCTGGTTCTCACTCAAGTAGCCGGAACAAACACTTTGCCAGTAACAGCACCTATAGCCTTGACTGTGGCAGGGGTTCCAAACCAAACAAATGTACAGAAAAGTCAGGGACCTGCTGCTCCGCCTGTTGCAGAAACAAAGCCAGCAACAGCAGCAGTTCCCCCTTCTCAAAATGTCAAACATGAAACTGCACTGGTAAACCCTGATTCATTTGGCATTCGAGCAAAAAAGACTAAGGAGCAACTGGCAGAATTAAAAGTTAGCTACCTTAAAAATCAGTTTCCCCATGACTCTGAAATTATCAGACTTATGAAAATAACAGGCCTGACAAAAGGTGAGATTAAAAAATGGTTTAGTGACACAAGGTACAACCAGAGAAATTCAAAGAGTAATCAGTGCTTACATCTCAACAATGATTCCGCTACCACTATCATTATAGACTCCAGTGACGAAACCACTGAATCCCCAACTGTGATTACTTCACAGCATAAGCCATCCTGGAATCCTTTTCCTGACTTTACTCCCCAGAAGTTTAAAGAGAAAACTGCCGAGCAACTTCGTRTTCTTCAGGCCAGTTTTCTCAATAGCTCCGTACTTACGGAGGAAGAATTGAATAGGTTAAGAGCGCAAACCAAACTTACTAGAAGGGAAATTGATGCATGGTTTACAGAGAAGAAGAAATCAAAAGCTTTAAAGGAAGAGAAAATAGAAGTAGATGAAAGCAATGCAGGTAGTTCCAAAGAAGAAGCTGGAGAAACTTCTCCTGGAGATGAATCTGCCCCACCTAAATCCGGGAATACAGGCAAGATTTGTAAAAAGACACCTGAGCAACTGCACATGCTTAAAAGTGCGTTTGTCAGAACACAGTGGCCATCACCAGAAGAGTATGATAAGTTGGCTGAAGAAAGTGGGCTTGCTAGGACAGACATAGTTAGTTGGTTTGGGGACACCCGTTATGCTTGGAAGAATGGAAACTTGAAATGGTACTACTACTATCAAAGCGCCAATTCGAGCAGTATGAATGGTCTGTCATCCCTTAGGAAAAGAGGAAGAGGGAGACCCAAAGGACGGGGCCGAGGAAGACCTCGTGGACGGCCTAGAGGAGGCAAACGAATCAACAACTGGGACAGGCCACCATCACTCATAAAATTTAAAACTGGAACTGCAATACTGAAGGATTATTACCTGAAGCACAAGTTTCTTAATGAGCAAGACCTTGATGAACTTGTCAACAGATCACATATGGGTTATGAGCAGGTCAGAGAGTGGTTTGCAGAAAGACAGAGAAGATCTGAGTTAGGAATAGAATTATTTGAAGAAAATGAAGAGGAAGAGGAAGTCATTGATGATCAGGAAGAAGACGAAGAAGAAACAGATGATAGTGATACTTGGGAACCCCCACGACATGTGAAGAGGAAGCTTTCTAAATCAGATGACTGAAATGTAAGTTTTTAACCTGGTAGTTTTTCCATCAGCCACTTGCATTTCTAACAACCATCTTGTTGTATCAGTCATCTTCACTTTTGATAATTCTTTTTCCAAAACACTTCTTTTTCCCCAATAAGACTAGGTACCACTAATAGAGTCAAAATGTAGATGATTAACATGTGTTGTTTGATTATTATGATTATGATGTAGAATTTAATGTTGCTTTAATTTTTGTATGAAATATTTTTATAATATTTATTTTTTTAGTTGTAGATGGACAGCATGCCTTTATTCCACTTATTTATTTTTATGTGGTGCTGAGGATCGTACCCAGTGCCTCAAGTATACAAGGCGAGTGTACTACCACTTGAGCCACATCCCTAGCCTCTGTATGAAATATTTTTAAGTTTCTTTCCAAGGAAAGATACCTTTTCTGTCAGACCAGGGGAAGAGGAGATTCATCCACACACACACACACACACACACACACACACACAGTAAAAATAAGGAAAATGCTTCTCCTGCAACCCTCCTTCACTAAAACCTCATTTTTTTTTCTTTTTGCCTATTCAAAGAAATAATTAAAAAACTAAAACTAAAAAGAAGGGGGGAAGTATACCAAAGGGAAGACTTACCACAAGAGTGAGGATTACTCAGTTTTAGGAAACTAAGTAAAAACTGATTTTTATCATATTGCTTTCTAAATTTAGTAGATTTTTAGCTAGAGTTTAAGGTGCTTTCTGTATTAAAATCATTCAGTACCTTTTTTGTCTGTGTGTACTAGGGATTGAACCCAGGGGCACTTTACCACTGAGCTATATCTCCAGCCTTTTTAAAWTTTTTTTTTTTATTTTGAGACAGAGTTTTACTAATTTGCTGAAGCTGCCCTCGAACTTGTGATCCTCARCCTCCTGAGTTGCTGGGATTACAGGCATGTGCCACCACCTCCAGCTTCCAGTATCTTTTTCTATTAAAAGCCGAAGTTCTATTCTCAACCCTATATAAATTTTATGTTTCCCTAGGTGGCATCTGTTTTTGAAAACCGTGATGTAAATTATTTCTGTTTTAGAGATCAAAAGGCAAATAACATATTTGATATTAAATTAGCTCAGTCACTTAAACTATCTTTTTGATATAAAACAAATCTACCAGCACAAGTACTGTGTTTGATTAAAATATATATCTTTATAGTCTTTAAGAGTACAAATAAATGTGGATTAAATTTGAAAGATTTTGACAGCTCTTTAAATATTTATTCTTTATCAATTAGATTAATTAAAATTTTGCTTTTATTACAAATCATTTACCTGATTCAGAGTTAGGACCTCAAGTTTTACTTCTTCTGCAATTCAGCAACGTGGATTTATTATTTTCTGTATTCTGTTTTGGAGTGTTCCAGTATAAAAGTACATTGTTTTCAGAAAATATTGTAGTTGTCATGAAATATCTGTCTGTAGTACAAATAGCATCTCCTATCAGAAATCATTGCAGTGTTCTCAAACAGTAAAGGAGGAAATGAGACATAGACTGTCATTATTATTTTATATATGAACATGCTTGCCTGTTTCCATAGCTTTTTACATCCCTAACCCAGGCTTTATTTTTATGCCCTCTTACTTTCTCTCTCTCTCTCGTAATTTCCTTAATTTTCCCCTATTTTCTCTCTCATTTATTTATTTTAGCAATTATTTTTGAGACCTCAGTATATGCAAGATACTGTCCTTATTTCTTAGCAATTTTTTATCAGGTTTTATTTTCATTAACATTTTTTAAGGCAGAAAAGCAGATGAACTGAAAATATTGATGCTTTTACAAAGCTGTACAAATCTCATTCCAGGTTAGAGAGCACATTTTAAGTCACTAGAAGCTCAAGAATTTTGTACAGCTTTGCCCTGAAGTATAGCCCTCCACTTCCTCCTGTTGGAAAGCTTCAGGACAGGGTTTGTTCTGACCTAGATGCATAAAATATTTTTAACAGTCACTTTTTTTTATTGCTAAACACAAGAATGCACACTCAGCCAAGATTAAATCAACAAATTTGTTGCTGCCGTGAATTGTTGTTGCAGCCTCTGCAGCGACTTTCTGGGGAGTTATAATCTTCTAAAAATAATGTGAACTTTTCTGTATGATTTACTTTAACCATACTTTAAATTTGTGTGGAAAATTCTTATATATTCACACTGGTATTATCGTAAGAAAATTCACATAAAGCTAGTTTTAAAAAATTTGTATTGCAACTTTGTTATGTGCACTTTTATGGTATGTATAGAAGAATGCCTTTCTTTTCAAATGCACAAAAGTCTACAATTATAAAACCTTAATTTGGGTTATTATTTTAATAAAATAATTGTTCATTTATAAGAGAAGTCACTCTAGGTTTCCTTTAAAAAGTTGTGTGTTGCATGCCTGTGACCCTAGCTACTCTGGAGACTGAGGCTGGAAGACAGCCAGATTTGAGGGCAGCCTGGGCATCTTAACAAAAACCCTGTCTTAAAATAAGATAAAAATGGCTGAAGGGCTGGGATTGTAGCTCAGTATTTCAGTGGTGGAGCATTTGCCTAGCATGTGTGACATWCTGGGTTTGATCCTCAGCACCACATAAAAATAAATAAATAAATAAAGGTATTGTGTCCATATACAACTAAAAGAATATTTTTTAAAAAGGGCAAGAGATATAGTTCAGATATACTAAAATGTTTCTTGATTCACTCTGCAGTATCTCTCTCTCTCACACACACACACTCACTCTCTCTCTCTCTCTCTCTCTCTCTCTCAGTTTTATTGCATTTAAATATGGTTCAATTTACCAAAAAAAAGTCACTCAAACTTTTTCAAACAGTTTTTGCAAAAAGTGAAGTACATGTATAACATTTGTACCTGCCAACTTTGTATATAAACAGAAAAATATAGGTCTTTAGATTTCAYAGCTTGTTTGTTATAGATACTGATAATAATATACAGACTTCCTATTCATAATTTTTATAAATGACTAGAGAGAGGTGATAAATGTCTATAAGCAAATCTGGCATATGAAGAATATAGCTATATGAGGTACAAACAAGGTATAGTGCATTATATGATATGTGTGTGGTAAGCTCAGTGTTAGGGCACAGAGGATGTATTTTCATGGTTAATAGTCATTTTGATCTAAAAGTCGAAAAATTAAAGTTTGGTTTTCCTTAAAGTTTCAGTTTTTTATGTTTTTCTTTTATAGCTGCTTAAAATGTTGAAGGAGAATCAGTTCTTCAACTCAAGATGTCTGGTTTACTGTGAAGGGGCCCAATCTTTGATGACACTGAAAATGTTTTGGGGCTCTCAAAAAACAGGATCCAATATCCAAAAGAAATGGAACTTAATATTGTGCCAAAGTTAAACTACTGCAGTTGGTGGAAGTTCTGCAATGTAAATAGAACACTAATTAAAAAACGACTTGTAAAAATTCAGATTTTAATACAGTACATTTTTATTCTGATATGATAGAGACATTCTGAATCTTGGACTTTCTGAGGGAGTTTAATGACCACTAGAGCTTGTCCTCATATTTAGTCCAGCTTACTACTACTGTGTGTCTGGTAAGAAGGGCTGGATTGCCTGTATTCTTTGATATGTGATTAAGCTTATAGCTTTGAGTGACCAAACATTTTACAGAGTAAAAATTGTTAGGAATGGGAAAACAGAAAAACCAAACCTGTTTTATTTTGTGTCTTATTTATCAGGCCCTGCACCAAGATTAAAAGTTGTATATGGGCTTATACAACTTCAAGTATTAAAATAGCCTCTATACACATGTTGAAACAATAAGTTTTGTGGTATCGCTGGCCCTTAATGATCGGATCTTTAATTAAACACACTCAAGGATGCCATAATCTCTACTTGTAATATTTCTGTTACTTTTCTCATTAGAAGCCAATTTGCTTTTTATTAAATAGAAGATAATACCGAAGAAGGAAAAGAAACTGGTAAGAAGTTGAATAGGGTGAAACTCTAAAATAAATGTTGTACCAAAAAAATGTGAAAAAGAATCATGTAAAATATATGTAGTGTTTTCTTACAATCATGTGGGAATCAGAAATGTTCATACAGATGTCAGATCAGAATTTTCATTATCTTTCAGTGAAATTCTACATTGTGTAACAATTTCGTTGACTAGAGAAAAAATTCTGAACTGATCCTAATGAGTTAAGAGTTAGCTTTTCACTTATGAATCATGGGAATGTTAACTGTTAACTCTTATCATACCAGGAGACTGAAAGTTCATACTGATTTATAAACTTTGTAAAGACCGGTGCTGTTCATTCATGTTGAGGACCCTTTATTTTGTGATCATAGGACCATTTTTCAAAATGTGGTTTCTTCATAGAAGAAATGTTCAGTTTAATTAGCTTTGAATTTTAAAATGTTTTTCTGAATGATCACATGTAGTGGGCTTGGCCAGTTTATTTTATCTAATTTAATGAATAATAAATATTAAGCTCTTGGTTAAATGTGTCAGCTAATGGAAATGTTATGAAAAAGCCTTGAATATGCATGCTGCTTTCATTTTTATAAACTGTTTATTTTTTAACTATAGCTTTATTAGTAATTCCAAAATGCTGCAATTTAGCTGATTTCTTCACTCAGACAGCTGGCTTTGTGGGTGGCTTTTTTCATACTACTGTTAACATTTTTTAAAAAGAAGCAATGTAAAGACTGTAACAATTGAATGCACTAAACTGTTTTTTTTCTTTTACACGTTTAAAACTTCTTAAAGCACTCTGTATTATGATTAAATTGCTCCCTTTTTTAAACCATTGCTAATGTGGTCTGAGTTTTGTTCAATAGTAATTTTAATGTTTTCAAAATTTGAAATGTTAAGTATTGGAAATGAAGCCTTTGAATATATTTATATTATGTTTCCCTTGCAATATGTTAACTCTGTATATAGTTGTAAATAACTATTAATAAAAATTTCCCATCTCTTTTATAGGCTTGATAAAATTCTGCTCTGATGTTTGCTAGCTTTTAAATATATTTATTTGACAGAGCAAAAGAACTCTTCTCTCCTGGTTGATTGTGTCCTTGAATACAAATAAAAGTTAGCAGTGATTAGTAGTTTTCAGTGACTTTTTTTCCATTTTAACAACATCAGTTTTTTAAAAAAATATGGATGAAATTTGCCATTATGCCCACATTTAAGTGTACAATTCAGTTTCATTGAATTATCTTCACAGTGTTGCACAACGATTACCACTATTTCCAATATTTTTTCATGAACCTAAACAGAAACTTGTAACCATTAAGCAATAACTCCTAATTCCCCCTGGCTCCTATAACCTCTGAGAAGTAGTCTTAGTAGACTATAGTAAGTAATGTGTCTCCATGGATTTGCCTATTTTTTATATTTCAGATAAATGTAATTGTCCAATATTTGTCCTTTTGTGTCTGGCTTATTTCCCTTAGCATAATGTTTTCAAGGTTATCCATAGTTGTAGCATATACCAGAACTTTGTTCCTTTCTTTGGCTGAATTATATTTCTCTCTCTCTCTCTCTCTCTCTCTCTCTCTCTCTCTCTCTCTCTCTCTCTCACACACACACACACACACACACACACACACATTTTGCACACATATTTTGGCTGTCCACACTCTGTTGATGGACACTGAGGTTGTTTCCACCCTTTGGCTGTTGTAAATAATGCTTCAGTGAACTTTGGCACAGAAGTATCTGAATTCCTGTTTTCATTTCTTTTGGATATATATCTAAGAGTGGAACTCTTTAGCCCTATGGTAATTTTGCTTAACTTTTGGAGGAACTACTAAACTCTTTCCTACAGTGCCAAAATGTTTTCCACAGCATCTCTGTATTTTACATTTTACCATCAGTGTTCAGAGATTCCAGTTTCTCTGCATCCTTGCCCACACCTTTTATTTTCAGTTTAAATAAATGATTACATTGTATAGTAAACATAGGGGGATGGAGAGGAGGGGACAAAAACTTATAGTAACCTCAGTAAGTGTGAAGTGGTATCTCATTGTGGTTTTGATTTGCATTGCTCTAAGGATACTGTCTGTCATGCAGTTACTGACCATTTGATTATCCTTCGTGGAGAAATGTCTCTGAGAGTCCTTTGCTCAGTTTTGGGTTGCCTCTTTGTTGTTGAGTTATAGGAGTGCTTTCTATATTCTATATGTTACAGCCTTATTGGATACATGATTGGCAAATATAATCCATCTTCTTATTCATGGATTCAGCATATGCAAATTTTCCTACTCACTAAAATTTATTTGTAAGCTTAAAATCAGTACAAATGGTACCTTCTTGGTCATTCCTGCACATGTACAGAATGGAAAAAATTTTGATTGTGGCCAAATGCCCACAATCCTAGCTGAGGTCAACCAAAGAAATCTCTGCCTTTTTGTTTCTCAARTTGTAAAGAAACATCCTTTTAACTTTCTATTTGGTGTTATGTTTCCCATATTTTTGTGCTTTTTGCTGGTGATTTCACTGTTTAAAATAGTCCTTAAGTTTTGTACTAAATTGTTGCCTAGTATTGCTAAAGGCAAGAAGACTATTGTTTGTCCTATGGAGAAAATGCATGACTTGATAAGCTTCATTCAGGCAGGAGTTATAATGCTGTTCAATGTTAATTAATCAATAGTATATATGAAATAAAACGTCTATAAACATAAATGCATAAAGCAAGATTACATATTGATTGATGAAAATATTGTGACCAGAGGCTTCCAGGACCCTGACCCTAGGAGCATTTGGGCCTTTATAGGGCAGAATTACTATGAATAATGACAATTGGTTGCATTTTATCTATTGTATAGGTTGTATTTTCACTTTCTTGATAATGTCCTTCAGTGCACAAAAATTTTAATTTTGCTGAGGTCCAATATATGTTTTTTGTTGTTGTTGTTTATGCTTTTGGTATCATATCTAAGAGGCTATTTCCAAATCCAAGGTCTTGAAGATTAACGCATATATTTACTTCTAAGTGTTTTGTGGATTTAGCTGAGATTTAGTTCATCAATCCATTTCAAGTTAGTTTTTGTATATGGTATGAGGTAGGGGGTCCAGCTTCATTCTTTCGCATGTGATAATCCAGTTGTCCCACCACCAATTGTTGAAGCAACTATTTCCCCCATATTGAATGAATTTGGCATCCTTGCCAGAATCTGTTCACTAAGTGAACTCAATTCTGTTCCATTGGTCTATATTTCTATCTTTATGCTAGCATAAGAATTTTTATAGCTTTGTAAAAAATTCTGAAATTGGGAGTGTGAGTTCTTAACTTTCTTCTTTTTCAAGTTTTTTGGGGGGATTCTGTTTGGTTCACTTTATGATTCTGTATGAATTTGAGAATTGACTTGTCCATTAAAAAAATAAACACTGCTCGAAGTTTTATAGGGATTATGTTGAATTTGCAGTTTGCTTTGCATAATACTGACATCTTAACAATATTAATTCTTATTATTCATGAGCACAAGATGTCTCATTCCAAGTATTTAGTATTTAGGTCTTATTTAATTTAATTTAATTTTTTTAATAATTAGTTTTTAGTTTTAGGTGGACACAATATCTTGATTTTATTTTTATGTGGTGCTGAGAATTGAACCCAGTGCCTCATGCATGCTAGGCAAGCGTGCTACCACTTGAGGCCTCATCCCCAGCCCCTAATTTAATTTCTTTAAGCAATATTTTGTAGTTTTCTTCTGCAAATCTTTCACTTTTTTTTTTTTTAAGTTTTACTGCTTTGCCAGCAAAGGAGAAAAATGGGACTCCTATCCTAGATGCTGTGATTCTACCCATTAGGAGGAACAGGAGGATTTTAAAGAGGTGATTCAAAGGCTACATTCCAGGTGTTCTCTATCCAGAGTTGTAATTTATTTGTTAATTTGGGAGATGGTAACTTTTTAGATCTTCTGATGCCATCCCAGAAGTCTTGAATTAGTTCGTTCCTGTGGACTTTCACCTTCTTTGTTTATTTTTTTCCTAGACATTTTATTCTTTTAGATACTATTGTTAATGGAATGGCTTTTTAATTTCCTTTTTGATTGCTCATTGTTGGTATATAGAAACACTACTGACTTGACTTTGCTGAATTCATTTATTAGCTCTAGTAGCTTTCTTGTAGAATCTTTGGGATTTTTTAATACATAGAATCATGTCACCTGTGCATAGATATCCTTTCCAACTTGGATGTCTTTTATTTATTTATTTTTTTCTTGCCTAACTGCTTTGACTAGAACTTCTAATACCATGTTGAAAACAAAAAGAAAAGAGGGAAAATAAGATGAACACTTCTCCCAGTTCTTGACCATTGGCTCTGTGCTGGAGATCTCAACATTTAGCTAGGCTTGCTCCGAGCCTAGGGATCAGCCCAAGGTGAAAGCTTAGGGTCCTTCTGGGCTTTTCTGTGTAAGCATCTTGCCCTGGGCATGTGCGTGGCTTTCTAAAATTTCCCCCGACCACAGGAATTTTTGAATGTCTTAATTTCCCAAAGAATCTCCCCCAGTCTTTCCTCCCAGGCCTTCACAGTCTGTTGCATGTCACCTGTAATCATTTATTAGAGGAATCTGTAGATAATAGGTTCACCTTGCAGTGTTTTTGAGCAATACCCACTGCTTTTTAGTCCTGAGTGATGCAAAATGGAAATGAGCATCTTCTGTTTAGTCTTTTAGGCAGCCCCCAGACAGGTGAGAACTCAATAATTCTCAAATAAGGTCTTTCCTGTTTCCTCTGGAATCAGAGCATAGGGCCTCACAATGGCACATGGATTGTTTATCATTTATCTCCGCACTATGGTAACTTAAGTTCCATAAAAGCCAGATGTGGTGATACAGGCCTGTATCCTAGTAACTTGGGAGTCAGAGGCAAGAGAATTGCAAGTTCAAGGCCAGCCATGGCAAGTTTGAGGCCAGCTTCAGCTACTTAGCAAAAGCCTGTCTCAAAAAGGGCTTGGAATGTAATTTAGTGATAAAGTGGCCCTGGGTTCAAACCCCAGTACCCAAAAAGTTAAGAAATTAAGTTCCATGAGAACAACAGTCTTATCTGTCTTACTTATTCACTGCAATCACTGTAATCATTCACAAGGGTCTGAACATTGTGCCTGGCTTATAGCAGATACTCAACAAATTTTAGTTGAATCAATGAATGTATCCACTATAAAATTTACATAATATGGGAAATATAATTGAACTCAAAATGTTAAATGTAAGTTGGTAAATATCCATGAGAATTATTGGGATGGTTCTCATACCAGCAATTGAAGAATATGTTTTGCTCAAAATAACAGAAAAAGGTGAAAAAGGAAAAAAAAAAAAAACATTTTACACATATCCAGGGAAGTTGAGAAGTGTAGCTCAGAGGAACAGTGCTTAGGTAAGAAAGGGAAAGGAAGAGAGATAATTTCATTGTGGAAGGTGTTTTTAGACTACCAAGCCCTGTGATTATCCTGGTACATTACCACAGTTTGTAATTAAATAATTTGCTTGCTTACATGTTTATAAAATCTCTTACCCACTTTATTGTGTGCTCCATGAAAGCAGAAATCCTGATTGGTACGTCCTTAGCTCCTGGCACAGAGTTGGGCCTCAAATAGATAAAATTATGCCCAGAATGCATAAATGAATAATGTGTGCTAAAAACATGGCTTTGCCTGGTATGATGGTGCGTACCTGTAATCCCAGTGATTTGGGAGGCTGAGGCAAGAGCATCACAAGTTCAAGGCCAGCCTCAGCAATTTAGTAAGGCCTTAAGCAAGTTAGTGAAACCCTGTCTCTAAATAAAAAATAAGAAGGGCTGGGGATGTGACTTACTGGCTAAGCACCCCTGGGTTCAATTTCTGGTACTAAAAACCCCTAAAAAACATGGCCTTACAAGAACATTCAGTATAGATTAATCCATTTAACAAATATTGAGGACCTGCTGAGTGCTGAGTACTGTGTTTGATGCTAGACAGAGATGAGTGACCCAGTCCCTGCCTAGAAAGAGCTTGTGATCTACTGGGGTGATGAACAAGTAAGCATGGGTCACAGCTACAGGAGATGCAAGGTGCCCTGGTAGAGAGAAGCACACCTGCTATGTGAACCAGACAAGGGTCAAATGAGTGTATGT